CAGAAGCACCATTTTTAAAAAGTTACAGTCACCCTCTCACTACTGGGATAAAGGTAAAACAAAAAACATCCAGATAAAAGAGAAGTTATATACCCTTTTTCACCGTGAATAAGACCTACCCCGAAAGTAAGACCTAGTACTATTTTTGGGAATTGCTAAAATATAAGACCTACACCAAAAATAAGACCTAGTTGTGACCATTCCCAGGGCCAGTGGTGGAATAAGGGGGAACTTGAAGAGCCGCGGGAGAGAATCAGCTGTGCCAACGAAGCCAGCTCTAGAGGAACAGAGGTGGTAGCGGAGGGAGCAGAGCCGCATAAGCCGATGCTTCCACTATAGTGCCTTCAACAGGCGGAGTGATACCAAATGCACTCCGCCTGTGAGGAATCAATAGTGAAAGAGTGTTTCGCTCATTCTGGCCAGTGGTTGATTACCAAATTGCTCTTGGAAAGGTACGGCACCCTTGATCACCCTATTCTTAACTTTGCCATTTTGGATTATTTAATTTGGATTTGCGTTAACTTTGGATTGTTGTACATTAAAAAAAAAAAAAAAATAAGACCTACCCCGAAAATAATACCTAGTGTGTTTTTTTTTTAGCCCCAAAAAATATAAGACAGTGTCTTATTTTCGGGGAAACACGGTACTTACATTTCCAGTGGCCTGTGTGTTCAAATTCCACCATGCTGCTGATCTCTGGCACGATCTCCGGGTGTGTGTTGAATAGCTGCTTTGCCTGTCTCTTGTTGTGGATTGACACACATAGAAGTGTTAGATACCAGCAGCGGCGGAGATTAGCAATGCTGCTGAGTTTTTACAAACGGGTCACAGGATGGGTAAGTAAGCTTCTTTTACAGCCTGACTTTATTTTCTTTGTATTCTTTAGTGACAGAGTCACTATAAGGCCTGGTTCACACCTGGGCGTTTTACAGCGCGTTCCTACGCGCTGTAAAATGCTCAACATGTGAAAATCAATAATTGCCTATGGGCATGGTTCCCACCTGGGTGTTTTACAGCGCGTAGGAACGCGCTGAAAAACACCCTACGCCCAAAGAAGTACAGGAGCGTCTTTGGGGCGTATTTGCAACGCGTATCCATTAGGATACAGCCGGATAGCCCTCGTAAGCGCGCGTTTGTCGCTTGTTTCTTTTACCGCAAATCGCTGTAAAAACACGCGGCAAACGCACATATTCCGTACGCCCAGGTGTGAACCCAGCCTAACTCTGACTGATAACAAATATTTGCAATCAGCACATCACATTCATGTAGATCTAAAAAGAAAACACCTGTTGAAAGACTGCAGTCATGTACTAGACTATACAGTGTAGTACATCATTCTTTCTCTTGTTTAAGCTTTGAAAGACAAGTAGATAACATCTGAAATCATAATGTGATGAATAATTAATAGCATGGCTAGACTGAATTTAATGTGTGTTTTGTCAATGATCAAATCTTAGAAAACATTGCAGCCTTAGAATTAGTGCCAGTGCCAAAGTACTGATCAACAAAAACACCCTGAAATAATATTTGGAATGCTCCTTTAATGCAGACAATCGCAGGTTAATTAGGAAAATGTGCGCAGCACTGAGAAGCGATTTGAAGGTATTTTGATTTTTCTTAATGTAACTAGGTGGAGGATATGGCAAGCAAAACCCACTTGTGTAAGGAATCTCACTGGTATATTCTTACAGGTGGCAGAAAACACAATTGGAGTTGTTACCCATTGCAACAAATGTGATGTATTGCTTTAATTTTTTTAAATGCAAATGAGAAATGACAACTGGAATCTGTTTAGTTGCTATTGGCAACACCTCCAAGTTTTCTATTATTTACTTTTATTTCCTTATTTAATTATTAGTAGCTGGCTCTCTGATCAAAGGGATCTGAAATTCGTCTTATATTATTGTTGAAGAAAGGCAATATTCTTCTTTTTTTTTTTTTCTAGACATTAAAGTAACTGTAATACATGCAACTTTCTGTTTTGGTTTGAAGAGCCTGGGGTCTAGTAAATTTCTTTATTTAAGAAATTCTCCTAGATTGCTTTGGTAATAGCCCAAACCACATGCAATATCGTCAGTTATATGAAAGGATTTTAGAGATAAAAGCCTGAGAAACTGGGTGACAGAATCTTAGAACACTGAACATTTTCAGCGATCATTTGGCAACTGGACTTATTAAGACCAGCTCATTACTCCAGCTACTATTTTGTCCCTGAGTACAGCTATTTATTAGTGTTAAAACCAGATATATTGAAATATGTATGTGTGAACCTTAAATGATGATTGATTTTCTATATTTTAATCTATCCAAGTTTAGAGATCCAGTTTTGACTGGTGCTGCTGATTTTTAGTTTACAATTGGTAATCAATCAGTAAGCTGACAGGCAGACCTAAGTATGTTGAAACAGTTGTTGGGAATGGATGAAAGAAGACTTGGCCTTTAAAATGGGTTTGAAGAATAAAACACATTACTCAGGACATAGACTATGATGCCCAACATGGGATAGAAGGAGAACACATTAGTCAGTTACTAAGCGTATGGCACTCCCTTATGCTAATCAGAAAGACTTTTAAGGTAAACATCACATAGGTTATTTTAAAGTAAAAGCATTATTAAAAGGATGGGGGATGATCCTTCAGGGGTCACTCACACACTCACACACACACACACTTTCACACTACAGATCCACAGACACGCCCACACTCACATTGAATAGACAGACACCTGTTAGGACTATTTTTACTTACTAACTAAAGACACGTTTCTTAAGCATCTTATAGATTTCTGCTGTAAGATATACTATATTTTGTAATCATCAAGCATCTTATAGACTCATTCTGTAAGATATACCATATCCTGTAATATTTTGTAACTTTAAATTAAACACATTCTGAACTTTATGCAACAACGGAAACAATCATCTATTATTGAACTTTTCCACCCTATGCTTAGAGAAAAGGAATATGACATAAAAAAATCATATTTCGTGTCATTTTCTTACAATTAGAGAAAGTTCTCCTCCAGGTCTGGTCCTCTGCTGATTGAGAGGAGGCAGTGGGTGGGTGCAATAGCCAGCCTCCTATTGGCTATTGCAATTGAACTAGCCAATAGCATCCCCTGCTATGCTTCCCCTGCTATCTGCTGTTTTTTTGCATTCTGAAGGCCGCCAGAATACCCGAACAGAGCCAGCAGCTCATTGGCTGCCGGCTATGTTGCTACATAGTTTTTCCGGCTCCTTCAATCAGCTGATCAAGGGATGCCGACCAGACAGCGGCAGCGACTGTGCAAAATTTGTCCGGTTCCTCAAGAACTGGCTGAAATTCGCACAGTGTGTATTATCGGTAATTTGGGGAATATCGTCCCCAATTATCGGTAGACCCCCTAGTAGACAGGTTTCTGGCTCAGGAGTGAGCTGAATGCAGTATACTTACAGGTGCTTCTGAGATGCTTTGACTTTCATTTAAAGTGCATCTGAAGCCAAAACTAGTTTTGGATAGGGTGGTGAAGAACACCTGTCAGGTTTATTTTCGCTGTCTGTGTTTTCATTAGGAGATTCACCATCTCCATTTCTCCTGTTATTGCTAAAAGTGAAAAAAAATTACTTTTTTGGGGGGTCATCATCAGCAAATCTGGTTACCCTGCTGACCAACCGGTGTTTCTCTCATTTTGGAGGCATTTGCTCTCACTTTCTGATGTGACTGTTGGACAGGAAGTGAAGAGAGCTCTCACCAGTAGGGCACAGAGGACCAAAATAGATAAATACTATTTAACTGCTTCAGGCTGCTTTTGCACTCATATTGGCACATATAGGAAAATAAAAGCAGGTCAGACAAAAGCTGGTGTGCATCTTCCCAAATGCTTTGTAGATACTGGAAATAATTGCTGAAAGCCTGTGACATCACGTTCAGCGTTGTGCTATGATCACCTTCAAGTACTTCTGAACTGGTGAAGATGGTTAAGGCAAATGATACTCTAGCAGCACAGATTCTGGGTGCTCCCACTACTGTAATAGCAGTTAAGACAATGTCGGGTTAAAACAAGAATTTATGGGAAGTGGATCCACCTTTTTTTTTTTAAACACTTTTCAACTGCTGCTAAAATGTCTAGTAACTACTTGGTAAAGGCCAAGTCTACCTTTTAGAACCATATTCAGGGGAATCATGGTCACATTGCCACCCACATCTCGCAGGGTTTTTCTCCCTGCAGGCTGCTGCTAATTTTTTTTTTTTAATCTGACGTGGCTCCATCCATACAGCCACATCATCTATTCAGAGATCTTTTGCAGGATCTGTGAATGGAAAAACTACAAGTCCCATTAGAGGGCAGAGGGACTTGTAGTTATTAATGACATATAAGTGCGGTGACATCACCGCACTTGTCCATTCATTCTTCCTCCCATCCATGTTGCTAAATGTCCTTACCTTGGTACAGACGGACACTGGATGGAAAAGTCTGCAAGAGCATTGCACCTGTGATCCAATGATCGTGGTTGCAAAGCTTTATTGTCTCTTAACCCCTTCATGACTGAGCTAGTTTTCAGTTTCTGTTCATAAATGACTGACACACTTTTTACATTTTTGCTGTGTGATTCTTCCACAGCAGTAATAAAAATTAAAAAATAAATGCACATTTTTTATTTTCTGAATATGTGTGCATTTATTAAAAGGTGGAATTTATCTTTAACCATTTGCTTTATTTTCATTTAGGGCAATTGGAGTGCATTATAAGTGGTTGTGATCGGCTGACGTTAACTGAATGTTGCAAGAGACATTTTAGCAACCGCCTGATTTTGTGAAAAGGCCATGTCGGTTGTCTCCTTGTGCAGCACATTTGCAGTGACTCATCAATGTGACATCACTTCCATTAGAGGGAAGATTTATAGACTCTCTTCAGCTGTCCGTTAATGCTTGACGTTTCTGAACTTTACATGCGGCATATTTTACTGACGATGTAAAAAATCATTCAGCTGTATACTTAGATACGTGGTAAATGCTCGCAATGAGCATTAGTACGTATGATGCTAGAGTAGTGAGCATGATGGAATGTCAGTGCTGAATGAAGATGAGCAGTTTTAAACAGAACAAAGCTGCTCCCACATCTCCTCTTTCAACGTCACCTTACATACAGACTTCTGTGTTCCATGTAGTGCTGACATAGCCCTGGAGCAAGAAAGGGTTCATATACGTTAAGTAAGTGTGTAATTCTGTAAAACGGTTTTTACATTCATATATGTTAGGAAGAGTGTTTATTCCCATATATTATTTTAATTATTGTCATTGTACATGTATAGTAGGGATGTCACATTCTGGAATAATGCCTCAATCAAATCTATGTTCTGTCTAAACTTGTGTGTACACATCCTTGTAGGTGTCTGACATTCAAGCACGATCTGTGATACTGACCTGGTCACCGCCTTCCAGTTTGATCAGTGAAGAGAGTGATAGTACAAACAACCCTGAGCTTTATACATATGAAATATTGTTATCCAACAGTGGAAAGGATGAAAAATTCAAGGTGGCATATAGGTAGGTGCAGAAAAAATATTTGCTTGTGGAAAGTGTGTGATGTATATGCGTGTGTACTTTTTTTTTTTTCCAAAGCATGCTTTAAACCTATGCTTTACCTAATGTAGAGAAAATTAAATGGTTCACTTTAAGAGGAACACCTCAAGCTGCTTATACTCTCCTTGTTTCACCCCCATAGCTGCTCCTTTCAGCTGGAGGTAATGATAGTTAAAGCCTTGTAGGCATTCTGGCAGCTTCCTAGGTGCCTAAGCCTCCAGTCACCATTACTACTGCTATCACATGGAAATAGTATTGTCACATGCTTCCTCATTTTCAGTCACTGGGTGTTTTTTGGGGGGCTCCCAGTGGTAAGACAAAGAACTGACGATGTAATGGTCGACTGAGTATGTTCTGCATGTGGGGCTACTCTTAAAGTGAACTTACTTTGCCCTGCGTAGGAGAAGCACAAGTTCACCTAAAAGTAGGACCTTGCAGTCAGATGCAGGTTTCCCTTAAATCATGTGTTTACTGTAAGTTACTTACAAGAAGGGTTGAACCACTAAGCATATACTGCTTTGATACTGTGTAAGTTATAGCTTGAGCTACTGAGCTGTATGAACTGGTGTTTTGCAGCAGGTAGTAATCGGTCATAAAAGGCCATGTGAATAGAAGCCTAAAGCTCCACGGCTGGATGAAAGATTACATAATTTGTGTGTAATATTTCATGTTTATTGAAGATAAAATTAGAAATGTTTTTAAAATGTCTATTTCTCTATCGTCCATTGAGGGACACAGTTCTAAAGAATTGATATGTAGGGTTATTCTGCTGCCACCAGGAGAAATTGACAAAAAAAATAAAAAAAAACTGCCATTTTAAGGACATAAACCCTCACACCTGCCAGTTTCACTTACTGTAGTGTCCTCAAGAGAATGGTGTTTACTTCTCTTCTGCTTTATTATTTTATTTTGTTTCTTCATTGATGATTCTACTACCAAGAGCTGCTTGTTGATTTATCTCCAGCTAGCCGACAAAACGGAGAGATTCATGCCGGATATGTTAAATCCTGGAAGTTTCTCTACTCGTGAATAAGGTCATTTCTAGTCTTGGTACCTAGGCTTCATCCTGTGGTGGTCATTAAGCAAGTGGTTTATTGTCTCAGTACTTTGGCTTCATCCTGTGATGGTTATGAAGTATGTTGTTTTTGGTCTCCGTTCTCATGCTCCATCCAGCGGTGGTCCTGTGTTCCTGTTTTCATCATATAGCAGTCAGGTCAATATTACCTGGCGATTCCTGTTATGTCAGGAACAGGGCCATGGAGGTGTGAATAAAAATTTTTTTTTTTCTAATGTTTTATAAGGTTGGTTGGTTCTCCTTTTTTTTTGTTTGTTTTTTAGTTTACTTTGGCTGTGTGCTTTTAGACTCCTATTTGGCTAAATGCTTCTATGTGGAGTTCAATGTATTTTTATATAAATTTCCTGCCATCTCTAAGAGACTAAAGGTGCCCATACACTGCTCGATTCTCGTACGAGAATCGCGGGAAATCCCGCGATCGTACGAGAATCGAGCAGTGTGAACGGAGACGTGCAACCGTTTCTACTGTACGGTCGCACGTCTTCCGTCGAACCAGCATGTTCGAAAACCAGCCGGGAATCGTACGATTCTCGGCTGGTTAGAACGGTGCTCGGAAGACAAATGCCGAACGGGCCGGTGTGCGCACGCGCACACTGCCCGTTCAGCATTGCGGTCATCGGAAGCCCGCCCCTCAGGGGGGCGGGCTTGCGATGATCGAGAGTGCGATCTGCCTGTCCAAGATAGGCAGATCGTACGTTTTTTTAATCCCTGTACAACCATCGCAAGACTAAGGTCTTGCGATGGTTGTAGAGTGTATGGCCACCTTAAGACTCTGATTTCACGATGCACTTGTTTTTATCTACTTTGCAGGTGCTGTCCATTTTTCTGGTTTCCTCAACACAGTTTAGTGCATTTCTATCAGCAGTGAAAGTTGGATTGGGAGGTTTCATCTTCCTTTTTTTTCTTATTTACCCTCCATTTTATGGCCGAGAAAAATGTATATCAAAGCGCTAAAGGTGTAACAAATAAGAAACTTAGTATAACCAAGTGATATAATGAACTTTTAGGTTTAGGGGGTCTAGCCCTAAAACAAGTGATATCTTACATAGAATCATAAAAAATATATATAAAATAAAAATAAAGTTAATAATACAATAGTGCTGTGGAAAAAACAGAAATGATTGGGACAATAAAAAATTCCAACCACTGTGTAAAGACCTCGAATAGGTCACAATATATAAACGATCCGTGCAAAAAATATATTAAAAAATTGGAATAAATTGGTCAACGAAAAATAAACGTAAAAAACGTGTACAAAGGAAATTGTTAATGATATATATTGATGGTGGTATATATTTCGTGGCGGTGGTCCGACAGCCCCCTTGGGTGGGTACTCACCAAATGGAGTTGGATCGAAGGCTTTTAGTTAGTGACACTTGAGCCTGCAATCGTGCTTTCAAGCTTGGACCCAGTTGTTTTTACTCTCAGTCCCTGCAAGGTGAGTGTTTGGTTTTTCTCCCTTGTAGCGCTGGCTGTATCCCAGAAGTAAAGCTGAATCGTCTATTTCTCACCCTCCATTTTATGCCCCTTGTTGGGGAGAACAGAGATACTTTGTATTTCACACACTGGCCACATTTCCCTCCTCCTTCTTTTCCTTGGATACTGGGACAGAACACGAAGGAATTCCAATCTTTCTCGTTGCTCCAGATTGGCCTAGCAGGGTGTGATATGCCGATTTGGTTCATCTGTTGCAGATGATCCCTGTCTTTTTCCAGATTGGCCAGATGTGTTATCTCAGGGCTCAATCTTCCGCCCTGCTTCTCAGTCGCTGTTTTTAACGGCCTGGCTGTTGAAATCCAAGTGTTGAAAGACAAAGGAATTCCAGATTCTGTTATTCCGACTATACTTAGGGCTTGTAGATATTTTACTCGTAAGATTTGTCACTGTACATGGAAGGTTTATTTTCATTGATGTGATTCCCTGGGGGTTTTCCATATTGAGACTTTTGTGTTTACGTCAGCTTGGGGTAGATCAGTGTTAAGCTCCAAGTACCATAAAGGTATAAGGTATCTGCCTTGTTGGTCATTTTATAACGTCCTATTGCTTCTATTTCCTAGATTCTTACCTTTATTCAGAGAGTTCCATGTGTGGCTCTTCCTGTTAGGTCTCCTCTTCTTCCATGGGATTTGAGCTTTGTTTTATCTGTTCTACAAAAAACCTCCTTTTGAACATATCTGAGTAATGTCTTTGTCTGTTATTCAAAACTGTTGCTTTTCTTGTGTCCATTACCTTGGCTAGAAGGGTTTCCCAGTTGTCGGCTTTGTTTTGTGGAAACCCCTATTTGGGAAGGACAAGGTTGTTTTATGACTGCAGGTTTCCCTTTTACCCAAGGTGGTTTCTGCCTTCCTTTTAAATGAAGACATTGTTTTACCTTCAATTTGTCCAGCTCCTGCTCATCCTAAGGAAATTTCTCTTCATTGTTTGGATGTTTTGCGGGCTGTTGGCGCTTCCTTTAGACAGTTGGATTCTTTATTTGTTCTACCTGAAGGTCCTAGAAAAGATTATTCAGCTTCTAGATCCACTATTTCTGCGTACTTACTTGGACATTCCAACATGACAATGATCCTAAACAGTCATTGGCTACAGCAGAATAAAGTGGAGGTTCTGGAGTGGCCATCTCAGTTTTTTGACCTCAATATCATTGAGCCACTCTGGGGAGATCTCAAACGTTCAGTTCATGCAAGACAGCCCAAGAATTTACAGGACCTGGATGCTTTTTGCCAGGAAGAATGGCAAGCTTTACCATCTGAGAAGATAAAGAGCCTCAGCCACGCATACCACAAAAGACTTCAAGCTGTCATTGATGTTAAAGGGGGCAACACGCCGTATTAAGAACTGGGGTATGTAAACTTTTGATCAGGGTAATTTGGGTAGTTTCTGTTGTCATTATGATTGGAAAAGAGTAAACACAGTTGATTGATAATAAATGGCTTCAGCCAAATACTACCCATGACTGACAGGTTTTCGTGTTATCATTCATATTCTCGAAAAAATGGCCAGGAAATCATAAATTCTGCCAGGGTATGTAAACTTATGAGCACAAGTGTATGTTCTTAAAGGGGCATGCAATGTATTTTTCTGCCTGGTTTCCATTTCTCCTAGAGGCAGCAGCATAAACTTATGTCTCGGAATTCTTCAGGGTTGTGTTGTCCCCCAATGGACTCCGAGAAAATAATTTTACATGAAAAACAAAATCCTATTTGTTAAGACCCGACAATAAAAAGAAAAAATAAAGTTAATAAATGTCCAGTTTATACATTCCCTTTAATTTAGTAAATTAGCAGAGGATGACGAGTAGAGCTGTTTTTTTTTTCCCTTTTAGAAAGCCTGTCCTATTTTGCCAGGAAAGCACCCTGTAATCAAGGTTTAGTAAATAAAGATTTTACAAATAAAGAAATGATATAACCCTCTAATAATCTCATTATAAAATTGTAAAAAAGACCAAATTCATTATACCGGCTGTATAGCTGCAACTTTGTTTTAGAATGGTAGCCCTAAACAAATGGAGCAAAACAGCAGGTAACACATCTGCTCCTCATCCATTTCTGTTTTTTTGTTTTTTTTTCACATGTTGAGCACACAGGGGCTGCTGACACCTAAACATTGCATAGATTATTTTTTTTCTATTTATTGTGTCAGTTATCAGTTTTGCAATAGAGCTGTCACTGTGACAACAGCACAAGTCCAAACCGTAGAATCCCATGAGCAACAATTTTGCCCCAGGCTTTGCACAAACCCTTCTTATTCCTATACGGCGATCTATTTTTCTTTCCCTACAGATATGTAATTCATTTCAACCAGTTTTGTGATGCACACACCTGTGACATTACAGCAATGTAGCAATATGCTGCATAATACATGTGTTGAAAAATAGAAGTGTCTATTATGACTCCCCTGTTGACTTGTTCAGCTTCCTGTTTTTTTTATTGTACATTGGATTAGCGGCATCCAGTCAGTAAGCAGGTCCAGGACAAGTACTTGTTCTGCAGACTGTAATATATTTGTACAAATATTTAAGGATGGAGGTTTTAATTTCTGAATGTCCCATGTGAATTCCAAAAGACATTTGTGCATTGTCATCTAACGCCTATGTAATTTGATGCTCATGAATTAGCCATACCGTGGTTTAGCGGTCAGCGACACAAGGGTCAAGAGTTAACGTCCTACCAGTCTCTCTGTGCTTACCCTTTGTATGTTCTTACCTATGTTTGCAAGTGCAGGTTCAGGTACATGTTTTTACAGAACATTCCCCTAGCCCCCAAATAATACAGTATATGTCTCCAATCTCTTCATCTTCCCCCAAAGAGCCGCACTGCCGATGCATATGCTATAATCTCCTATAGACTTGAATGGAGACATACATGTATAGAAGGAGTTATGTCCCATGAGGAACAGGGGCTGGCAAGATTTTTGTAATAACATTAACTTGTACTTTTAGGGCTTGTTCACACCGAATGCTGTGCGTTCCAGCGCGGTAGCTGCTGGAACGCTCCGCAATCCCTCACAAAACTTCCCCCTGTGTTCTGGGGCGGGAGGGGGCGTGGCAGTGCATTGAATTCAATTGCACCGCTTCCACGGCCCATCTCCCGAACGTGGCAAAACTTTGCCTGCGTTCCGTTCCACTGCAGAACGGAACGCAGGCAAAGTTTTGAATTCAATGCACCGCCACGCCCCCTCCCGCCCAGAACACAAGGGGAAGTTTTGTGAGCCATTGCGGTGCGTTCCAGGAGCTACCGCTCTGGAACGCACCACATTCGGTGTGAACAAGCCTTTAAGCAACCGATTTGTGAACTGGAGGTAGTGATTTTGTTATTATAGTGGTGGGAAGGGGTTTTAGTGGTCTATGCAGTGCATAAAGTGTTCCATTTACTGATGCTATGTCAATTAATACATTAATATAACTGCATAATATGAATGTGTTTTTGTTTCATTCATTGGCTAAATAATGTTTGTATTCCTTTCAGTGGAGTGAAGACCAGTGTTACAGTGGATGATCTGAGGCCTGCAACAGATTACCACGCCAGGTCAGTTGCCTGTCTTCTATGTCTTCAACTATATTGGTGTAGGCTGCAAAGGAAAACTAGTGACTCATACTGCACATGGTATTCTGCTTTGTAAATGTTCCTTCTGCGGTCCATTTTATGTAAGAGTAATATGAGAGCTTTGCCACTAGGTGGTAGTTTAATACCTACATATATACACGACCCAACAAACGATGTCTGAAGGCACTGTACATAACCCTTCTGAGACCAGAATGTATTTTATGTTTCAGCTCCGCATCAGTTTCACCGTTAACGTTTTTTTCTTTATGACATCCATCTTAATCTATGTAAATGTTTTTTTGTAACAATGGAAAAGCAATGGGAAATTTTAACATCAGGCATTCCTTTCTAACTTTCAACTTAAAATGACAGCTACAATCTGGTGGTTTTGAGTGTTGCACTTCCTTTGGTAGCCATCTTCTGGGAAGATATAAATATATTAATCTCTCCAGTAACATGCCTCATCTTTACTTTGTAATTAGTTTAAAATCTTCCCTCCTATTCTCCTATTTGTACTCATAGACAGGGTTCTTGTGCGCTGAACTTCCTGTGCTCTCTGCCTATGCTGCACTCTCATCGGTTACATTATTCCCAACTGTCTCTAAAGACTACAGAACATACCTCATCTCTATGTAATGGAGAAAGTGAGAGGTAGAGGTGATATGCTGACCTGTGCTAGAGTGACAACTCTGCTCCAGTATGGTACATTTTGTCACCCTGGAACAGGATATGTGTTACTGGAAGGATCAACAGGTGAAAATAAATACAATTCAAAAAGCTAGGGCAGTCACCACATCTAAGGGCTGGAAAGCTGCAATATATTACATTTTTGTTCTTGGGTTTAGATACTTTTTAAGCATTGACAGATTTTTGTGGTTTGCTCAGTAAGCCGCTGACAGCAGCTAGCTCTGTTATCCACTGCCTCTGAGAAAATAGACTTTAGAAGCTCTTCAAACACTTCTCGAATGCTAAGCATGTGTTAAGAAACTGTCAGGAGCCGATCCAATTGACTTCCATTACATTCGATTGCTTGCAGCATCCAAGTCCAAGCACAGTGATATGAAGCAGCACAAGTACTTGACTCAAACACCAATGTGTACTAAAAGCATGTTCGCTTTGTAAAAATATGCAAAGCCCTTGGAAAGAGTCTTAAATGCTTGTGAATGGGTCTGTACTGGGAAGACTGTACATGCCCATGATTACATGATCATAAAACACATGTAAAAAAATGTAGCCTGTGCTACACTGTAAGAGAAAATGTAGTGTTGAGCCTTGTAAATGATCAAATGTAGATGAGGGGTATGAAATATAGGGCTGTGAGCCCATTCACACCACATCCAGATCATCACCAGACCAGATTGTTTCCGGACCCAAAATGTATCCTAATGTATGCCTATGCTATTTCTGGCCTCTGTTCACACCAGTGCAGTCTGTTCCAGGCCAGAAAAATACTGCATGTCTCATTTTGTATGATCTGGAATGCACTGGAACGAAGGAAACGCATCAAAACCACATACAAACGCATTGGAACGCACCTGAAAGCCCATCCAGAACGGCAAAATCGCAATGCATTGCGTTCCAGATCTGGTCCGGAAAATGGTGTGAACCTGTCCTGAAAGTAGAGTTTTAATGAAAGCGCTCGCCTATAATGCTGCCTATGGTAGTTTCCCATTCTCTGTTTTCTGTAACATGCTATTATTAGTTCCCTTTCTATGTTGTTTTCATCTTCTTTGCATGATAAAAGCATCCCACAGCCTGTGACTAATTCCGCCTACACCCCGAACTCCTGTGTCGTTCAGCGCCTCCAGACATGATATTAATACCCTGTTATTGCTGACACCTGAATTGATTGTCCTAACATAACCCACTCTCTGTGCTGGAGACCCCACATCCGTTACCAGATACTTGAGAATTCAAAGGGAGTAATTGCTGGTTTTCTAGATTGATTTCACTCGAAAACAAAATGAAACATTTTTTTGGGGGGCAAATATTAAAGCAAAACTCCAGCCTTCCCTTCAGTCTTACAGTCCTACCGGCTCCTCTCCTGGACTGAAATTGCTTACTCAGATTTCACTGCACACTGCAAGCTTCTCTCACTGTGCACTAGATGCTGCAACCATTCATTGTGTAGAGTGTGACGATATGGTCATCAGTTTATGGGTTATATGTGTATTGGTGTTGGGTTATGTTTAAGAATGTTATACTGTGTAACCTGTTTATCAGAAGACTGTCAGCACCACCCCTCGCTAGCTCCCTTTGTACTCCAAGGAGCTCAGGGCAATGACATTATCCTGCGTCTGGCCACACTCCTGCTATGGCTGTTTGGAGCTCTGTAGCAGGTGGACCCCTGTGGGGTTGTGCAGTCAGAATGTCTAGGGAGGGCAGGGTGGATGTGATGGGATTATAATCTGATCACTTTCTGTATAAAAGGTTGCGCAGTTTCTCAATAAATCAGAGTTTGTTTCACCCTACACTTGGTCCCGACTATCAGTTGGGGAAACTGGGAGCTAAAGATCAGCGGGTTGCAATATCTCCTGAGCAAGGAAGAATACAGCGGCAGACATACTCATCCTGAGTACTGAGCACACCCTATTTCCTGTCTGGAGGACATCCAGCATCATCTAGCCATTCCTCCCCAGCCCCTTCATTCATTAGATTTTAGTCTTTTCAGTCATAAAGGTTTAACATCACATATGGGTGTTACCTCAGGAGGTTTGCATGCAAATGCAGCCTGCCTAGGAACACCCACTCTTCCAGAATGATATATACCAATCAAATCATTGTGATTATTGTATAACTCCTCCCAAGAACCAACCCACATGCATCAGGCCTGAGGGCTCTTCAGAGGAGTACTGAGGCAGGGTACTGTGAAGTTTTTAAGGATGCTATATATACAGCACAATGCTGGCTCTTTTTCACCAGCAATCTCCCTGCACTGCATCGAGAAGCACAGAGATTCAGTGATGACATCACTGGATGTAAAATAAGCTTATGTGCCTCCTTTTGGTGTGATGAATATACATTGAAATTGGCTTTTTTAAATCTGTTATTTAACAGGTGCAAAAAATAACTGTTCTCCATAAATCCAGAGGGCAGTAACTTTCTGTGCTGCACTAAAATCTCAAGCAGTGTTATCAGCCCTGCCTGGGCCTCTTCTCTGGACTATAGAGCACCTCTCACCTCTCCATAACAAAGGGGAATGTATTCTGTGGTCCACAGAGGTGAACTGGGAGTCGAGAACAGGAGTGCTTAGCCTAGGGGAACAATGCTGCTCCTCGGACAGGATCACCAGGTGAAAGCAAAGAAACAATTAGAGCTTGGGGAAAAAAAGTGCAGTCATTACACCTAAGGACTAGTAAACTGCAAAATATTAAATTCGTGTTCTTGGGTTTAGATGTATGTTAAAGGGCAATTTTGCATTTGAAACAATAGAAAAGAAAAAAGCGCCAAGGGCAATCACTCCTCAGAGGCATGTGGTGATGGGCATGCTGCAGAATGCTGCCCCACTGCAGCCAGGGGGACTGTGAAATCTGGAAAGAAAGCACAAAAACGGCGCCTTTCCAGGTGCAGGTAAATTTTATTCAGATAGTCATATCAATGAAAAAAGGTACTCGCAAACGTAATTAGGATAAAAGCCATAGGATGATGGGTGAATGGCAGGCAAGTGGAGATCAACAGAGTAGTTCCAATGTGCAAGCATACAGATCTGCGTTGATGTTCTGACCAAGGGGGCGTGTCCCGTAAACTTTTTGTGCTTTCTTGGCAATTTGCATTTAACTTAACAAAATATTAGATTTTTGCTACTTTGTAGATCTAATATATTTTTAAATGCACTGTAAGTAAACAAAGTAAATATTCACATGAGATGCCTATTGTCCAAAATCTGCCATTTCTGTGCAGTGCAATGTACAAACTTTGGAAGCATTTGTCATGCTGTTCTGAAGCAGAAAATCTGCATTTATTGGGCCGCAATAGATGCATGGAGAAAGTTACTTAAAGGAGAACTATGGGGGTCAGTGTTTTTCCCCATAGTTCTCCTTAGGGTAACGGGAGGACACAAACTAGCGTCCTCCCGTTACCCTAAGCTCAGTATACCGCGAGCTGCAGCTCGCGGTATACTGAGACGCCGCACCTGGAGCGGATCCCGACGTAGATGACGGGATCCGCCCAGCTGCGTGAGTGACAGCTGGCTCTGCCTATCTAGAGGCAGAGCCAGCTGTACCCGCCCCCTCCCCCGTCCGTTCCGCCAGTCAGCGCTGGCAGATCGGAGCGGGGAGAGGGGAATCCAGCCCCTCTCCTGTCAACGGCAGAGAGCCGTGACAGGATCGAGAGGTGAGGGAACCCGCTATGTGTTCTCTCACCTCCCGATCTACAGAGCCGACCTGTGACAGTCTCATTGTCACAGGTCGGCTTAGAAATCACTCATGTCATAGTTCTCCTTTAAAGGAGAACTATGGTGTAAGTGTTTTTCCCCATAGTTCTCCTCAGGGTCACGGGAGGACATAAACTAGCATCCTCCCATGACCCAAAGCTCAGTAAATATATTGCGCTACAGCTCGCAGTATACTGAGACCGCCGCAGCCGGGACGGATCCTGACATTACTGTCGAGATCCACCCAGCTGCGTGATTGACAGTTGGCTCTGCCTATCTAGAGGCACAGCCAGCTGTACCCGCCCCCTCCCCCATTCGTTCCTCCAGTCAGCGTTGGAGGATCGAAAAGGGGAGAGGGGAATCCCTGCAGGGAGCCGTGAGTGACAGTCACGGATCTCTGCAGGGATAGATCGAGAGGTGAGCGAACGCCGGTATGTGTTCGCTCACTTTCCAATCTATTGAGCCGACGTGTGACAGCCTCATTGTCACACGTCGGCTCGAACTATGAGGCTGAGTGAAAATCACTCAACTCTTAATATACTGTATGTAATCATTATCATGCTTCTGTCAGATTTGATATGAAAATGTCCTCAAATTAATATTGATTAGTATCTGGAATTGAAAATCTATAAATCAGTACTTTTACAGATCTCTTGTCTCTGTGTTTATTTACTGTTATATTTCTGTTTTATTTATCCACTTGTAGAGTTCAAGCAGAACTGAATTCTGTTAAAGGGAACCCTTCCGAGGCTGTAAGTTTTACCACAATGAGCTGCGAGCCGGACACCCCAAACCCTCCAAGAATCACAAACCGGACCAAAAATTCACTTTCCCTCCAATGGAAGGTGAGTTATATGTTACGAATGAGATTGGAATGTCAGTTAATATAAACTGCTCAAAAAAAGTAATGGAACACTTTGAAATCACATCAGATCTCAAGGGGGGAAAATATCATGCTGGATATCTACTGTATACTGGACTGGGTAATGTGTTAGGAACGAAAGGATGCCACATCGTTTAATGCATATGAAAAATGATCAACCTACAGAGGGCTGAATTCAAAGACACCCCAAAAATCAAAGTGAACAAATGATGCAGCAGGCTAGTCCATTGTGCTGAAATTTCATTGCAGCAACTCAAAATGGTACTCGTTAGTTTGTATGGTCCCCACTTGCTTGTATGGATGCCTGACAATGTTGGGGCATGCGCCTAATAAGACAGATGGTGTCCTGGGGTATCTCCTCCCAGATCTGGACCAGGGCATCACTGAACTCCTGAACAGACTGAGGTGCAACCTGGCTGCGTCAGATGGACCGAGACTTAATGGCCCAGAGGTGTTCTATTGGACTCGGGTCAGGCGAGTATGGGGGGCCATTCAATGGTAACAATTCCTTCATCCTCAAGGAACTGGCTGCATACTCTCGCCACATGAGGCCGGGCATTGTCGTGCACCAGGAGGAATCTAGGACCCACTGCACCAGCGTAGGGTCTGACAATGGGTCCAAGGATTTCATCCCGATACCTAATATTAGTCAGAATGCCATTGTCTAGCCTGTAGAGGTCTGTGCTTCCCTCAAAGGAGCAGATACCGGTCCTCCTGATGGGTTAAGGACCTTCTATGGCCCTGTCTAGCTCTCCTAGACTAACTGCCTGTGTTCTGGAATCTCCACCATGCTCTTGAGACTGCTGGGAGACGCAGCAAACCTTCTGGCATTAGCACGTATTGATGTGCCATCCTGGAGGAGTTGGCATGCCTGTGCAACCTCTATAGCAGTGTTTTTCAACCACTGTGCCGCGGCACACTAGATGATTCTTCATTGTCCAATGAGCAAATCTTGGGTCAAGTTGGTGCCAAACTGTAACATTTAACTGCAGTGTAAAAAGATCACACAGCTGGTCATGCTGTCATTTTTAGGGCTTGTTCACACCAGCCTGTATGGTAAAAGGACCTGTAGTCCGCTGTCTGCCGGCAGTGGGGGCTGTGCCTTGTGTTACAAAACAAGGCACTCTTAAACTTTTTCCTTTAATTGTGTTTTAAACTTTGATTTGTCAACGTGACTTTTCATTCAGTTGCATGCAACAATTGTTTTCTATATACCCTTGCGGTGACTGACATTGATCAGGTGCTGAAAAATGCCAGTTGCTTTATTTGGTGTGAATGAGCCTTTAAAAAATCTCAGTTCAGTCCTAAAGACTGTTGCCATGGAACTGGAGATCCCTGATTGTTTAATACCCTTCATATAATAACCCAGAGAGTCCTCCTCCTTTCTTTAGCTCCTGTATTAGGCTGCCCGTACGATCCCGGGATCGTACGATAATCCTAAAGTGTATGGGTAGCGTGCGACCGCATATACTGTAAGGTCGCACGATTTTCGTCTTACGAGCACGCTAGAAAACCTGCAGAATCGTAGGATTTTCGGCGGGTTGGTAGCGCGATCGCAAGACGAAAGCCACACGGCCCGAGGTGCGCAGGCGCACACTGCCCGCTCACCATTGCAATCATCTGTAAGCCCTCCCCTCAGCAGGGAAGACATGCGATGATCGCAAGTACTATCTGCCTGTCCAAGTTGGGCAGGCCATACGAACTTTTATTCACCTTACAACCATCGCACAACGTAAGTCGTGCGATGGTTGTAAGGTGTATGGCCACCTTTAGGTAGTTCATTTATAACTTGTACAATCCGTGTCACCTGAAATGTGGCATTGGGCACAGCCGTAAAATAATGTTTCCAAAGAAATAAAAATAAATAAATAATGATACGGTGCTGTAACAATTGTAGTCCCTCCATCTTACTAATCTGATGAGGCCAAATCCGTTAAGGGATTTGCATTGTCCTTTGAAATTCCGCATAACATTTATCTGTTTTATTGTTATTGCCGCCATCATTAATCAGCAAGACACATTTGATCTCACCCTCCAAAGCTAATTATATTTTTGCTTTGCTTGATTTCAAACAATTAATCAAGTTGGTGGACAGTGCGTGATATAACCGATTACTTTGTTCTACTGATTGAACATATTGAAAGTAAATGAGAACGGCGATATCAGGCACGGAGTGGTGGAAATGGCACCTGTTCCCTCGGTCAGTTGGTGTTTGGAAAGTGGAAGCAGTCCTTCCTGCTACTTCCATTGAACACATTCATTCACAAGTAAATAATCTCTCGCATTTCTAGCAGCAATTCACTGCCCATACAATTAATGTACCACTTGTCAGGAAACCCCCGGCTGCCTACTGATAATCCAGTCTTTTCTTTTCACACGTACTCTTCACTGGAAGAGTGATGCCAGGCAACATGTTTAAACAGTCTGCTCCATCTGTTTTGTTTTGCTGCAATTAGGCGACGTGCTATTTTCTGATCTGTAAATCATAACACGGTCGTTATCAGTGTAAGCAAAAGCGTCAATGTTGCCATATTGTGCTTCTGACTTCCCAACTTTATACAATTCTAAACCAACTCTCACACTTACTGTATTATCCTGTTTGAGATTGATTAAGACTAGGGTCAGACAAATCATTCCTGATGTTTAACCCCTTCATGACTGAGCTTTTTTTCAGTTTCTTTTCTTTAATGACTGACGCATTTTTTACATTTTTGCTGTGGGATTCATCCACGACAGTAATATCATTTTTTTACTGGGTGCACCCACACATATATTGTTTTTTAGAGAACAGATAGGGCTATATATTTATAGCACATATGTGTGCCTAATGCTTCACTTAGGATGAATAAAATATGAAAAATATGGGGAAAAAACGTAAAGAAAACACTTTTTTTTCCCCAGTTTTGATTATTATTTTTTAGAAAAGTAGCACAGCTAAAAAATTGCATTAAAATAAATTAATTTATTTGTCCTTCATTTGGAAACACCTCACATGCCTAGGATTTCAGAACATTTTCTGTACTTCTCAGCCTAAAACTAAAAGCCAACATATTTTGTTTTTTTTTCTCTAAAAGCCAAAAGTATCACAGTGACAGCAACATACTTTGAACATCGTCATCATGAGCGGTTAAATTAAAATAAATTAACCCCTTAGGGTGAAAAATAAGTCTGCATTTTTATTGTGAGCGGTTAATATTTATTAAAATCATATATACATTTTCATTTTCTCTCTCCTTTCTTTCTCTCCCTAATTTTTTTTTTTACACTTATTTTACATATTTTAAATTATTTCAAGCATTTATTGTGAACAGATCTCACTATGACTGCTTAATAATTTCATTAAATCATTTTGGTTATTAGGCTGCTCCAAACTTAGGAACAGCCAATAATAACCTTAGTGACACTGATCCTTACATGCTAATCCTGCAGCATTCCAGGATCAGATGTTTCAAAAGGCTTCTGATCATTCCCGGAACGTTCAGAAGGCTGAAACGATGTTTTAGCAAAAAAACATGTTGCTAAAACATTTAGCAAAAAGTCGGTATGCATCGGGGCTTCCTAATTCCAATCTGTACCAGCTGTCAAACAGTGACAGCAAGTGCGGTGAATACTGCACTGCTATCACTGTCAGACACCCGATTCCTAAAATGGATCAGGCCTCAATACTGAGGCATCCATTAACCTCCCTGGCAGTCTGATTATGCAGTATTTTTGCATGCCAAAGCGGTACATTGTACAATGTTTTTCATGGAAATTTGTTGTTTTATATTGTAGGCCTGTAATTCTTAGTAAATCTTAGGAATAACTCACCTAAATCTGTCCAAACAAGAGTCTAGGAGACATCCCGGATATGATAAAGTTTGAAACACGAAATTAAAAAATGATAATATAATAAATAATTATAAGAATAAGCAAGCAGCCCATTGACATGGCGGGACAACTGATAGGTACATACAGTACTTATTCAAGGCCAATGATTGACCATTGAAGAAAGGATAAGAATCACGGCTTAGCAGTTGTATCCCCTACATTTCTGTCCTAAATTGGTTCCTTTTTAGTCAGCTTTGCCTGATACTCAAAAAAGCCAAACAGATGTGTCCTGTATTCTTCCAGTCATTATCTGACATGTATTCTTCTGTACGCTGGTTGATGACCAGTGGGAAATAATTTCAACACTTATCACACCCGTGCTGAGCTTGGAATTATGCAGAACTCAGACCTGGCATCCCTCAAGCCCTTCTTATGATTGATTATTTCGTCTATTATCTTTTTTTCTGTATAACCTATATGATGTTTCTATTTCTAGCTATCATGTGACAATGGTTCTAAGATACACAGTTATCTTCTAGAGTGGGATGAGGTAAGTTAAAGATATATTTTGTTTTTATTTTGTAAATCTTTCTTTACTATCTAATATCTATACCAAACCATTAACTTACAGTAACACTGTGACTTATTTGGCTTGAAGCAGATGAAACCCATTAATGCACTTGTGTGGTCCCCCTTCCTTTCCCCCAGCCTCTAATTTAGTGATCTTCATCTACCAAAATGCCCAACTCATGTGCCATGCTCAGAGCAGTCCTGGCCACAAAGAATAATGGCAGCACCCATCTTTACCTCAGCACATGCAATGGGCAAAGTGCCATTATTTTCTGTAGCCAAGTCGTATTTATGTATGTATGTATGTATGTATGTATGTATCAGACTTTAAGAAGAAAAAAAAGTAGTGGTCATATTGTAAACGCTCTGCTGTACCCAGACATGTCGGCTAGTGAAAAGAGATGTTTTCTGCTATAGTTTGGCAGTTTTATGAGCTTTATTGAGGCTCAAGACCAGTATACATGCTTCAAATTTCGGCTGGTTCTTCTTCAAAATTTGATGTGTGTGAGTGTCACTGTCGCCATCTTTATGACCGGCATCCCTTCATCAGCTGATCTAAGGAGCATATTGGAAAGTAGTCGGCCGAACAGAGCTAGCAGCCAATGGGATGCCAGCTCTGTTCAGGTATTATGACAGCAGCTGGCGGCCACTGTCAGAATACAAAAGAAACAGCAGGGATTACTTGATCAACAATTGTAAGAGTTGATGGTGGAATCTGTTCTATTTTCTTCATTCAGCTGGCATAGAAGTATATATAACCGGCTCAAGAGTGGCAGAGCTGTTTGCTCTTAAGTTTTTTAAGGTGCACTTACCCTTTAACAAAGGGATAATTGCTTTTTCTGCCTGCCCCTTTCTATATCCTCCATCTCTTAGGAGGGACTATTTCAGATGAACCTGTCACCTAGGGAAATTCCAATCTCAGAAACCTCTGATGTAAGCAGCTATATAGCTTGTGACCTAGTTCTGAAAAACTGAAACAGGGCCTAGTTTACTTAATAGCGAGTGATATTGTTCCATAACTAGTATAGATCACTTAGTTATGATGCCCTCTACTAGGGGCCGGCAAACTCTGGCCCTTCTGCTATGATGAAACTGCAAATCCCATCATGCATCTGCCTCTTGGAGTCATGCCTGTGGCTGTCGGAGTCTTGCAACGCCTTCGGGGATTTGTAGTTGCACTAGAGCTGGAGGGCCAGTGTTTTCCTACCCCTGCCCTATACCCTTTATACACCATTACATCCCATATTTTACATTTGAGTTGAGGTAAAAAAAATGTTTAGACTTAATTTACAAAAGAAATAATTATATTCTTGTTATTGTATTAGATTGCAATGAACTAATATCACTTTTTATCCCTTAGGGAAAGGGGTGCCAAGAGTTTTCCCAGTGCTACTATGGACTACAGAAGCAGTTTAGGGTAACTAAGCTGTCACCAGCAATGGGGTATACTTTCAGGCTTGCAGCAAAAAATGACATGGGCATGAGGTATGATACCTTCTCCATTTTTAGGTTTTCATTTTATTTTGTGCACCTAGCTCTACTCTTTTTTTCCTTTCTGGTTTTACGTGACCATTTCATTCTCGTTTTTCCTCAGTGGTTTCAGCGAAGAAGTGTTATTCCACACCTCAGGCAGTGCTCCCACCGTGCCAGCAAGTCCTACCCTTATTAAAGCTGGAATTAGTTGGTTGTCTGTACAATGGACTAAACCCTCAGGTACACCGTCCGATGAAGGAATTTCTTATATTTTGGAAATGGAAGACGAAACCTCGGTATGTGCAGTAAACAAATTCATACATCCTGTTCGGTAATTGATTACTTTTCCTATCTCATCTTACTAATTCCGCTTAGGGGTACTAATGTACAGTTTGACAAAACGTTTGTAGACGTCTAACCACCACACCTTAACTGGAAGGGTAAAAATTGTGTGGACACCCCTCCAAATTGTTAAGTTCAGGGGTTTCTAGTTTAGGGTGCAGATAATGCTTTAGTACAGAAGAAGATGTTTTAGACATATTTGTGAGCGAAGGGAAGACCTTTTACTTTTCCAGCATGACTCTGCCCCCCCTGCACAAAGTCAGCTCCTTAAAGTGACATTAAACCTTCCTTCCCCCCCCCGCCGCCCCCAGCTGCAAGGGGCATAACTAGAAATCACAGGGCCCCATACAAAATTTTGCTATGGGGCCCTGTGATTTCTAGTTACCCCTCTGCATCAAACCCACTGTTTTCCCACCAATGCTGCTGTAAGGATTTACCTTAAGGACCAGTTCACACCGATTGCGGTGCGTTCCAGAGCGGTAGCTGCTGTAACGCACAATAATCGCACAATAAACTCCCCCCGTTATGACAGTTCGATTGGATGTATTGCAAAACATTGCCTGCGTTCCGGTCCAGTGCGAACGCAAAAAAATGCTGCATGCTGGGGGAGTTTAATGTGCGATTACTGTGTGTTCCAGCAGCTACCGATTTGGAACGCACCGCAATTGGTGTGAACTGGCCCTAAGTGATGCCTTTTGATCCGATCATCATCTTCCTTCCAGTAGTTTTCAGCAGTCCCTCCAGTGCAGACTGCTTTTTTTTCCTGTCCGACAGAGTCTATCTGGCATGCACATTCACGGCTGCGTGTACTGACTTTCACTGTAGCTCTCCTCCTCTCCCCTCCGGTGATAGGGACTGCGCATGCGCCCGCACACATCCTCCTGCACGCTTAGTTCTACAGCCAGGTGCGAGCAGCGCAGAGGTATGTTTTTACCTAGTTGGTAACTTTTTAATTTTTTTTCAATGTTTTTGTATATATCTACTGCTTTCTAGCAGTAGATATATGTAAAACAAAACGAGACTTTAATACCACTTTAAAGACATTGAAAAGTTGTGAAGAAACCCGAGTGGCCTGCACAGAACATTGACCACAGCTCTACTGAATAACTTTGGGATGAATTGAAAGTAAGGTCTTCTCATCCAACTTCAGTACATGACCTCACAAATGCTTCCTTGGCTGAATGGGCACAATTTCTAACAGACACACTCCAAAATCTTGCGGAAAGTCTTCCCAGAACATTGGAGGCTGTTTATAACCCTTATATCATATTTCAATCCAAAAACGAATACGTAATATATTGCATCTTTCCAGTCCTTCAATGTGGTGACTGCATTCGTTTTCTTTTTTTTCAGTTTTTTTCTTTTTTTCCACCTGATAATACTTTGAAAAACACATTGTCCTTTTATGTCTCTGCTTTTTCCCCACTGTATCTATGGGGGGGGGGGGTCAGCTATGGGGATCACGCAAGCTGGACATCAAACATGCATGTCTTTGTTCGTGTTTATTACATGGTGGATTGTAGTTTACACAATGAAGATAAGATTCAGTGAGGGGAATTTATCAAAACTTGAGCAGCTGTGCATGGCAACCAATCAGCTTCTCTCTTCAGTTTGTAGTATATATTTGTTCCAAATATATGCTACAAGTACCATAATTTTGGTATTACAGGGCCTTTGCTTTCAGAAAATATATGTTTTGGGGTGTAAATGTGTGATCATGTTGAAAAATGTGCATCTATTTTGTGGGCGCAAAATGAAAAAAACAAAATAAAGTGCCACAATCATTAAACATAATAGAAAATGTGTATAACGTTACTCTGTGCATTTCAGCAGGTTAAACACTTTTACTGGTGACAAAGTAGCTATTGCATTGGTGGCCGGTCTGGCATGTAAACAAACTCCTGGCTGCTATAGTATCTGCTGGCGTTTGTTTTCATTTTTTCTCCTGGGTGCCTGTCATGTTTTAGGGCTAGTTCACACCAGCCACAGTGCGTTCCAGCCCAATTGGGGCTGGAACACACAGGATCGCATTCCAGCTGGCTCACTTTGTTGTGGGGTCGGAGGGTCGTGGCGGTGCATTGAAGTGCATGGCACCGCAGCCACGCTCTCTGGCCTCAATGCGATCGGCCGCACATTAGTGCCTGCGGTCCAGTCAGAAATAATGCTGTGAGCACTATTTCCTCTCCCGTCCATTGAAGGACACAGGGCAACAGATCGTAGATCCTGAATGTAGGGTATATCGCCACCTGCAGGAGTAGGATGCTAGGCACATAACAAAAGAAAAACAAAGCCTAGGGGCGGCCCCTGCTGGTGGCCAAACCCCCCACCTGCTGACATTTTTCTTCAAGCAAGTGCAAGTGTCACCAGGACGACACGCTGGATGTTTGTAGATCCTTGTAGTCTCCTGCGTGACCGACATAGCTGGTGCAGCTTTTGTTCCAGTTTGGAAGCACCATATCTGGATGTCTGTGTGATAGGGTTACTTCTAATGCTCTATTAGTCTAGGTGATTCATATAGTGTTTTTAAGTGAGAGACAGCAGCTGCCTGAGCTAGATGAGATTCAGAGACTAGGAGTTCCTTTGAGCCAACCCCAGAGCATAGGGACACAGCTGTCCATCCATATAACATAAAGAAGTCTCATAGAACCATACTGTCTCCTTTGGCCCCTGGAATGCATGTTGTGCATTACTCTATAATGCTTTTAAAGAAAGATTTGTGTACTGAAATGGGCATATGTGGTAAAATGTGTAAGCATTTTGTATTCAATACTGTTCGGTAACAGGTATAATATTTGAAAAGAACCACAGAGTAACTGATTGCATAGGTCATACGCCCCTTTTAAGTTAGCATTTAGCAGAAGCACCTTTGACAGCAATTACAGCCTTGAGTGTGTATGGATGGTTCTCGCAAAGATTTTCTTAATTAGACCAATTTTCCCCATTGCTCTTTGCAAAACTATCACAGTTCTATCAAGATGTATGGGGATTGTGAATGAGCAGCCTCATTTGTCCAGCCACAAATTCTCTGCCAGAGTGAGATCTGGACTCTGACTTGACCATTCCAGGACATTAACATTGTTTTTTTCAGCCATTCTGAGTAGTTTTGGCTCCATGCTTGATGTCATATTGATGAGTGTTTATGATCATGTGTAGTGTTTTGTGTACTCAAACAATATACATATATATTTAGGTTGCAGTTATTCATACTTGTGTTGAAGCTTGATTTAAAGCAATCTCTATAACGTCAGCTAACTCTTTGTCCTCCTTTTGTACAAGAACTTGGTATTTGTAAGTGTGTAGCGCTAAAGAGTGGAGTTAGGGCAGCTGGACTCAAGGACCTCTATCTTCTATATGCTAAAGATATTGTTTGAGCCCAGTTGGCCGGTGTTAGGTGGTGGTAAGAATTTGAGATTAAATGTGTTTCTTGTAGAAAGAAAATAAATGACAATAATAATCACAAGTACTGTACACATATGCGGTATATTATTCTAGATGTGCATACAATAATATATTTCTTGCTACTTCTGGTTTCTTGCCTACTTTTGTTTATTTTATATTATAAATATTGTATAGAATTAATCCAGAAATATGTTGATTTGACAGAATCTTGTCTTGAGAGAGATACTTGGTAGCTGTTGCTGACCACCTTATGTTAAAGAGCAACTCATTCTGGATAGAGTGGAGACCTGTCAGGTGTTTATTGCTGTCTGTGTCCCCGTCATGGAGATTCACCCTCTGTTTGTCCTTGTGACCATTATCAGTGAAAGTGAAATAAAATCCCAAATTTTGGGTTGTCATCAGAACAGGAATCTTCCAATGGGGATAGTTGTTCTGCTGGCCCTGCTGACCACCAGGGATTTCTCTCTCTTTGAAAACCACAACAGGAAAAGAAAGGAAATTCCTCCAAAAAGGAAATGAAGATAAACCTCTCCAATGGGACACATATGGCAAAAAAACAGTGTTATAATCCTCAGTTACTCAATCCAGAACTGGCTTCAGTTCTACTTTAAGGCCATTTTCCTGGCTGTCAGAATGACTGCCAGTCAGTTAGCATTTTCATAGTGTGGTCAGCATTGGCAACCACCTAGTTTCCTTCTGAGACATTTTCTTTTAATTGGCTGAATTTGATTTTGTGGCATGCAGTCAGCAGTAGAAAAAATACTAGGATGAATAACGGTAAAGCTGTGTAACTCATTCCATTAAAGTATTGCATAAAATGCAGTGAATGTGAACATTTTAATCTGATTGGTTGACATTGTTCTTTAGTGTTGGTTTCCAGCAGTCGTTGTATTGTAATTAATATAAAGCCACATGTTTTGTGAATGGATAAACCATCATTTTAACGTTTTTGTATTTTCACAGGGCTATGGCTTTAAGCCAAAGTATAATGGAGATGACCTCACATTCACAGTGAAGAACCTGAGGCGCAGCACAAAATACAAGTTCAGGGTTAGTACATTTATTTTACTTACAAGCACTAAACACTTGAGGGGCCTTTTGGAGAATAAAAATGGTCATTTAGCTACCTTGTACACATATACTAGATTATAAATGTCATGTATCTATTCTAGTAGCTCTCACTGATATGAGAGTGAACTGAAGAACTGTATATATTGTAAGGCAGTGTAACCAAACTTCAGCCCTCTTGCTGTGGTGAAACTACAATTACCTTCATGCATCTGCCTCTGGAAGTCATGGCTGTGCCAGTCAAGAGTTGCAATCCCTAATGGGGTTTGCGTTTTGACCACAGCTGGGGGGCTGGAGTTTGGCTACCCCTGGTTTAGGGTATATGCACAAAGGAGGTATTACTTATGCTTTGCTCCAGCACAGGTTCTTAAAAATCCTGTGATCCAAGGCTC